TATCGGTTCATAGCCATCACAATATCACCCTTCTATCACCTAGGCCGATTATTTGAAGATACAGGGAAGATATTTTTAATTTCAACCTGTGATCTCTACTACGACTTGCAACGAATACGTGAGCATTTTTATGAGCTAATTCTCTTGCTGTTATGATTCCTATACCAGTGTTTCCACCTGTCACTATTGCAATCTGAATTACGAGAAATTAAACATGAAATTTTATATTATATAGCTTTTTTAATAAAAAAAAAAATAAGTAAAAATTACCTTGCCAGAAAGATCAGAGATTTTATTAAAAGAAAATCACATTTTAATTGATAGAAATGATTAATATATTCAAATTTTTAAATAATTTTTATAAATTTTGAGCGGAACACTAGATTTTATATAGTACCACAAATAATTATCCGGGACTTTTTTCCCGAGTTCCAGACTTTTACCCGCGTTCCAGATTCTTTCCCGAGTTCCATAATATAAAATTACTAATTCGTATAGGCAAAAATTTTTTGAGAATATTATGATCATTAAAAATTAAGTTGATGCAATAGAATAATATATAAAATAAGTTATAAATTTTCTATCTTTAAACAACGAAAATATGTCATTATATCAAAATATTAGTAAGCAAAGGTACAATGGACCAATCAAATAATTACATGATTTTTATAAAATGGTTCATAATGGTTCATAAGAATTTCACAATAAAAAAATTAATTAGCAAATAAAATACAATCATTCAATTAACTGGCAAATCTAATACAATAATTCAATCAATTAGCAAATCTAATACAGTACAATTATTCAATTAATTTTTATTCCATTTTGTATTTTAAGCCAATTATGCAATTTCACATAAACTATTGGATCAAATTTTATGAACTATAAGTACGCCTACTTGGCATCCCTTGGCGAATGCCACCGGGAAATATTAAAAAAAAATTTTTTATGAATTATTATTATTAATTTTTAATCATCATTCAAATCAAAAAAATCCGCCCATACGCAATAAAAATATTGGTTAAAAGTTACATGGATAAATTTAGGGGTCGTCTAAAGCTGTGTCCAATCACGTGACATAGAGCCAATAAAATTGTTTATTTTGATCGACACGGAGCTGAAAAAAGCGAAAAACAAAAAACACAAGAAACGAGTGTCTAAACTAGAGATGGGTTTCATGTGTGCGCATGATTCCTCAATCGTGCGCATTAATGCGCATTCATGCGCATTTTATCCATTAAATCTATATAGTAAAATTAATGTATATTTAATTTTCCAAGGTGTATAATGCCAGGCAAAATTAAGAATAGGAATGCAGAAGTTTTGAAAATTTCCGAAAAAAATGAATGAACATAAAGATGAGAAGGGTCGGGGAAATCTTTGGCAAATATCCGATATTTTCCGGAGGAAAAATAAAAAATTATATCATGCGATATCATGCGCATTTTATATAACGTGCGCATTAATGTGCATTCATGCGCATGTTATTATAAAATGCCCATTTCCCCATCTCTAGTCTAACCCTATCTCGAGTCATTACCAAAAGATGCCGGGAGGGCGATTTTACTATAAAACACCTTCTAACCCTAGCCCCAGGCTAACCCTTACCCTAATTTTAATCAAATAGTCAAAAACATATGACTGGACACGGCTTTAGACATACCCAAATTTAGGAAATTGCTCACAGCTATGACCAACGTATCGCTGATGATCACATCTAATTACTAATAAGTAGCTGCGCGACATTGTCGCGCTAAACCAGGAACGGAAAATAAGTTGGTTATATAGGTTATAGATTGTTTTGAATTCAGATAAAAAATATCGGGTATACAGCATAACTATATTGATATGAGACACTATAATTTAAAATTTTCATACAAATTTTAGATATATAGTATAGAATGTAAAATACCTTTTAAAAACATATCATAACAATCCACTACAATTTTTTAATGCTAACCTTAATAATACACTAGTGCGATAGGTGGCGCTTTCGCGCCACCCATCTTATCTCTATATATATAAGTTGTTTTTGTTGGGTGTTTTTGTTAAATTTTTGTTAAAGTATTTTTTATGTTTTTATATTTTGTTTTGTTATCTTTGATATGTCTGTGAGTTTTTATGTCATTTTTAAAGTGGTTTTGTTATTTCGTTAGTTTGTGTTGTAAGCTAAAGTTTTTGTTTGTAATAATTGGTATGTTTTTGTTGTTGTTTTTTTTTTTAGTTCATTATTTAAGTTTTTGCTGATTTTGTTTATTAGTTGTATGTAGTAGATAAAATTTTATTTATTTTTATTTTATTGAGTGTTTTTGAAGTATTTATGTTTATTTAATTTCTAAGTTGTGCTTAGTTTTTTTGTTTTGAAATTCGTAAAGTTGTAATTTATGATTGTTTGCAGGTTTTTTTTTTTTTTTTATGTTTGTTTTGTGATATTTTTTTCTTAGTATTTTTTTTTTTAGCTTAGGTTTTCATTGTTGTTGATTTATGTTTTTATAATTTCAGTTTAGTTTTATTATGGTTTTTTGTTTGGTTTTTTTGGTTTAGGGTTTCGTGTTATTGTAGAAATTATTGCTTAATGATTTGTGCTATTCGTGTTGTTTTTTTTTTTTCGTTTATTGAGTTGTGTGAATATGTACTTATGTGGTTTTATTTATTTATTTATTTATTTTTTAGTTTATTACGTTATTTGACGGTGTTATTTTATTTTTGTGATATTTATTTTATAAGGTTTAAGTGGTATTTGATTTTTTTTTTTTTGTTTTGGTGTAAATTATATCTTGTGTTATTTATATAAGTTTGGTATTGAGGTTTCAATATTTTATTAGTTTATTTTATTTGTTTACGGTCAACTTATTATTTATGTTTGTAGCTTATATTATGTTAACTTAATTCTGGAAGCTTGATGTTTTATTTATGTATTTTTTTTTTTTTGTGTTTATGGTATGATTTTAGTAATTTGGTTATAATTATGTCATTTTGGATGTATTGTGTGGCTTCGATTTATTTTTAGTAATTATTATGAGCTTTTTGCTTAAGTTAGGGGTTTTCATTGTGTCATTATTATTTAGTTTTGACATCTTTATTACGATATTATGAGGTTCGATGTTGTGGAGTTAATGGTTTTATTATGTTTAATTTATTCTGTGTTTAAAAAATATATATATATGTATAATATTGTGTGAGTGTTGTAGAAATTTTAAAGTTTTATAGTTTTTTTTTGGGTTTTGCTTTTTGTTCTAATGCCGTGTTATGCAGATACTATCGTTAAGATTTATTATGTGAAGCAGAATGTTAGTTCTAAAGATCCTATTTGTTGGTTGTTTGGGCTCTTGGGACTTATCCCGTAGAGCGTGATGATTATTATATTGAGTTGACTTTATTTGTGCCGTTCGATTCAGACGAAAGAGATTCTGAGACTCAAGCCGTTTTTGTGAAAGATAATTTCTTTTGCGTTGGTGGTAAAATTGTGCCTGGCTTTTTTGAAGGAAAGAAAAGAGCTAAGGTAAATGTTATTCATTTGTTAGAGTTTAGCATATATTAATCTATATCTTTAAATTTTAGATGACGGTTTCTACTTCTACTCATGTGACAATCCTCAATAAAGCTGTATCATCAAATAAATGCCCATTAAAGGTTTCTTTGGTAGGGATTCCTCAAGAAATGCCTAACGAAGTTAACGATGATGTCATTATTAGTACTTTAGTTACTGATTATGCTGGGCAAGAATATAATTTTTTTTTGAAAGTTGTTTTTTCGCGTTACGTTTCTCAATTTTCATATTTGAAAAGTAATATGCATCCTCAAGAATCACTTATTTTCGTTGTCAGTCAATTGGAGATTATCAATAATGAGCTTTATGTCTATGCTAGGGATATCAATTATGTTGATACTCAGTTTAATAATAAAAAGAATGTTATTTTTGATCGTGGTGTTCCTCAAGTTTCTTCAGCTTCTAAGAATTCTGTTCGGTCTAGACTTTTGGTTACTCATCGTAACGTTGCGGATAAGCCTAAGTTTAATTCTGATCATAATGTTGAATCTTCTGTAAGTTCTGGAGATTATGTTGGTGAAGGTGATTCTAATTTGGTTAATAATTTTCGTTCATTGAGATGTGCGAGAGTTGAAGAGTATGATGATTCTGTTGAGGATTTTAATAACGATGGTAGTGAAGTTTGTAATGATTTTGGAGAGAATTTTGAAGGAAAATTTAAAAAGGAAGTATCTGTTTCGTCAGGTGATCACGTAGATATTAATGGTTCGAGTAGTTCATATTCATCAAAGCGGGTACGTGTTGAAGATTCTGGAGAATCTATTGGAAGGTCTTGTATGGGAGATTGTGATGATTTGTTTGTTTCTGATCGTGATGGAGAAGTTATTTCTTCGGATAAGAAGGGGAAAGGACATGCTGATAGAGTTTTACGTAGTAGTTTTAGGCTGCATTCTTTTGATTCAGATAGTATTAATTATAAAGAGTAGTTTTTATTTTTTTTATTTTTATTTAATTTTTTTTTTATTTAGTTTAGTTTTTTACTTGTTTAATTCTTGTTTTGTTGTTATGGTTATATTATTTCGTATATGAAGTTTCGGGTTTATGTTATTTTGTATATAAAGTTTCAGGTTTATGTTTTTATTATTAATGTGTTATTTGTATTTAATTTCGTTTTATTATATTTTATTATATTGCTTTTTATCCAAAAATTTTATATTTTTATTAGTCTGAGAGTTTTTGTATTTGGAATTTTTGTTTTGTTAAAATATTTATTTAATTTTGTAGTATTTCTTTATATACGACATTACGTGTATAAATGCCTTGTTTTTTTGAGATTTTCTCATCTTTTATTAATATCTTGATATTATTGTAAGCTCGGGCTCTCGATAATGCGACGTAAAGTTGTCCGTGCGTAAATACGTGTTTGGGTAAATAAAGCCCTATGTATGGAATGGTTTGACCCTGAGATTTATTTATTGTTAGGGCAAAAGAAAGTTTTATCGGAAATTGTTTTCTTTTTAATGTGAAGGGAAATTTAATGTTATCGGAAGTGATAAATATTCTTGGAAGGAATATATGTTTTCCTTTATTACTACCCGTTGTTATCTTAGCTTCTATAACGTTTGGACTGAATACTTGACATATTAGCCTAGTGCTGTTACATAGACCGTTGGTTGGGTCTATGTTTCGTATGCATATTATCGGTGTGTTGATTTTAAGGTGTAATTTATGAGGGAAAATATCTGTCGTGGTTATAGTGTTTAGAAATTCTTGCTGGTATAGATTGTGATTATCGTCGGGAATTGAGTCAAAGCTTCGATATATCATGCTTTCGCCCGGTAGTTGATTTAATATCATATTATTTATTTGTTCAACATATTCATTTGTAGTGGTAAGTATGGCTCTGTCTGTGAAGTAATACTGATCTAACAGATTTGTAGTGAGAGACAGGTATGTTTTTTCTATAAGGGTTTGTAGTGAATGTTCATTATTCCAGTTAACTACTATTTGTTCTGGAATACAGATTAAGTCGGTGTTAATTGTTTCTTCAGTTCCATTACTGATTCTTAATAAAAAAGTTTTTAAAGTCATTAGTTTAATGATTGTTTTTGGCTCGCATATTTTGATGAAGGTGAAATATTTTGATTTTAGACCATAACGGTGAGGATTTTAATGTAGCATTTACTATTTGTGTGCGGCTCCCTCTCAGGATGACCGGTAAAACTTGACGGAAGTCACCTCCGAATACGATGGTTTTTCCACCGAAAGGAGCGTCACATTTCATAATATCTTTTAGGGTTTTATCTAATGCTTCTACAGAATAGCGGTTCATCATCAAAATTTCATCCCAAATTATTAGTTTTGCTAATCTTAGCAGGTTTGCTAGTTGACTTTGTTTGCTTATGGAGCAAGTTGATTCAGAATTGATGTTCAGTGGAATTTTAAACCTGGAGTGGGCGGTTTGTCCTCCGGGCATAAATAAGGCTGCGATGCCTGAAGAAGCTGTAGCCAGTGCTATTGAATGGGTGGAACGTACTTTGGCTAGTAGGCAAAGATATAGAAAGGTTTTTCCCGAACCTAAGGTCATATTTTGTTTTTTAATATTTTTGTTTTTTTTTAGTTTTTTTTTTATTGCTGTTTTGTTATTTAATTATTGTTTGGTTCATATAGTTTTATGTTTTTATATTTTTATTAGAATTGTAATTTGTTATTTACCTGCAGGTTCGTTTACGTAGATTATTATAGGTTTATTTTTTTCGATGTGTTCTATAACTGTGTTGAATATTAGCCTTTGTTCCTCATTTAATAATTCGATTTTTGCTATGTCATCTGCTGTTACATTAATATTTAGTTCATTTATTATTATTCTTGGTAGTTCATTCATGATGTTATTTGTTAGAATGAGGGGAGGAATATCATATTCGCTTAAAGATTTGTTATGTTGTTCTAGGAGGCGTTTTATATGTTTGAGTACGGCATTAATTAAAGGTTGACCATTTGTGATTCCACTTTTTGTGAAGTCTTCAGACATTGCGGTAAAGCTGTTATTCCATAGAGATTTGATGTTATTTGGCTCACCAAATATTAGTATAGTAGCAAATAGTTGGCATAGTGAGGATGGCATTTGGAATTGAGCTGCTTCTTGCATAGTTTCGTAGTACATTAGTTCGGTTTCTATAAGTTTTCTTCTTATTGCACTGTCTTTAAATGTTAAACATTTATAACCATTTATTGTTTTTAGGTCATTGAATGATGTGGCTCCTTTAATATTATTGAGTAGTATTTGTAGATAATAGCGTTCTCTCTCACTTTGGTTGACAGTATAAATTCTTCCTATCATTTTTTTTTTGCTTGCGTTTTGTCCATTTTTTTGAAGTTTTGTTCCAAACATAATGTTGGGGAAATTCGCGGTATGTGTAATTTCGTGCTTCTGAATCAACTTTATTTACTTCAAAGTACTCAGTTAACATTGTTTTCTTATTTTGTTCATCTGCGAGAATGTTAGTTATGTCTGATGATTCAGGATATGTTATATTTTGTTTATCGGAAAGGTGGATTTGAAGTCGTAGTATAGAAGGATTAATTTGCGACAGGTCAAACCCGAAAATTCTCCAGCATGATTCCGATGCTGAGACCCACCGAGTGTCTAAGTATTGACTTATTTCATCTTTGTTGGTAACTTGTACTGCGGCACGATCGTGTCCTTTATATATATATTTGTACAGGTATTTTATCGATTTAATACTGGAACATACTTTGACGTTTATGTGGCAGTTATACTTGAATGTAAGGTAAGGGTTATACAGTACGACCTAGCGATTATCTAATTTTTTATTTTTAATTATTACATATCGTCCATCGTAACAGCGGCAATATAACGGGTATGAATCTTCGCCTTCTCGTGTTTTCTGAATAAATTTTTTGAGGTAATGTTTAGTACATTTGTTGTTTTTCATACACAGAGCTTTGTTGTTGTGAGTTCCGCACGGGCTGTGAATCATAAATGAAGTAACTGTTTGATGTAATCTCGGTTGTTTCATTGGGTCAAGTATTTCTGCTGATATTATAGAATCGTAATTATCAGCTCCATGTAGTTTGTCTTCAGGGCTAAATATTATTAGCATATGTGCGTGCGGGAGACCACACTTTTGGAATTCCACTATGTGCATATGAGCGATTACCCGACCAAGAACACCTTTATCGCATATATCGTTTTTAAGTTCCCCTAATTTCAGTTTAAAGATTCTGGCTGTTTATAATGTTATGATTAGTGTTAAAATCTTATTTAGTATATGTTGTGTGTTTTTTAAGAAGTTTAATTAAAGTTTTAATTAATAAATATTTTGGTATTTTTTTTTTTCTCCTCTTTTTTTTTTCTTATATCAAGGGTTAGACAAAAAATTTTTAGAAATTTTTGTAAAAGATTGTTATTTAAGGGATTAATTTTGGTTTAGTTTTTATTTTTGTTTGATTTATATTTGTCTTTTTTTTTTTTTTTTAAAGGTTATTTTCGAATTGAATATGTTATTTTTGAGCAGTTAGTTTTTAATATTAAGTCAAATTCTTACCTGTTAGGTCTGGTCTGTCTTGTGGAGTTTGCATTGGCATTAGTTCTGTTGTAATTTCGGGCCATCGAGGGTTGCACGTTATTGTTATGAATACGTCTGGTTTCCCAAAGGTCTGTACTAATGTCATTGTGTCTTGATATCTTTGGTACATATTATGGGAACCTCCAATAAAGGATGAGAGTAAAAGTACTTTTTGTCCTATGTCTGATGCATTAGTTATTCCTGATTGAAATGAGTCTTGTAGACCTTGATAATGTTTTTTGCAGATTTTGTGTTGAGTAAAACGCAAATAATTAAAACGCGCAGATTCTATTTTGACATAGTTGTCTACAATATACTGTTGGAAAAGTTGACCACCAAAAAAAAGTAATGATAAAGGCTCTCGGAAATGAAGTTTGTAAGCATAATATTGCCTTGCAGTGACTTTTTCGTTAGACATATTTTGAAATATGTTAGGATGCCAACCATAGTCACCCTGGGGGAAAGAGGAGCGGATATTGCATAGGGTCATATGACCTGCTTAATTCGGATACTCTTTGTAAGCCTTGTGATCGTGATTGCACTATTATATCGCGTTCAGTACAACTTATGTGATCATTGCCTTCCACCCATATGGCAGCGGCTTGAGAAGCTGTTGGTTTATTGTATACGCGTTGATCTAAGTTATTATCATCTCTAATGATTAAACGAAGATTAGTTATGTTATTGTTAGAAGAAATCGAGCGAAAATTGGCTACGAAAGGGTTTAGTTCGTCTAGCAATAATTTGATGGTTTCTAAAGTGTTTCGACGGAGTTTAGATATAATTGATAGTCTGTTTCTTGTTTCGGATTTAGTGTCGTAGATATATAATTGAAGGAACCTTGGTATTCCATCCGACGGTAAAAGAGATCCTATTGAATGATATATTCCGCCTCTTATTTGAAATGTATAAAATCCGCTTTTGGCTATAAGGAAGTTAATTATGGTTATATTTTTATATATATATATTTACATATTTATTAAAATTTTTTACCATTTGCTATAGGTTTATCTAATTTAACACCCATTGAGGTGAATGCAAAAATGCTATTATAGGCTCTTATATTTTCACAGAAATCTCTGCCAATTTTGTCGTTTCTTATAAATAAATTTTTTAAAGTAGCAGTATTATCCGATGAAGTTATTCTAGTATATTAATTTTTTGTAGATCAAATATTTTATAAAGAGATGTAATGCATAGCATGATATCTGTGTGTTTTTTTAAAAAAATTGTAATGTAATTTGAGCTCACTTTATTTTTCCCGATTTGCAGCATGTTCCTTGTGTTTCGGTTGAAAAGAGTTTCGTGTTACAGTAGGCACATACATGAGTTATATTTAAACTATGATGCATTAATGTTTCATTTTCTTGAAAATTTCGGCCGATATTGTGGTATTTGTATTGTTTTTTTGTCTGAGGAAGCGAATTTCGGTATCTTTGCATTCGTAAAGTATTTGTAGTCCGATGTTCTTTTTTCGTTCGTGGTCAGAGATTACGAAGTGGTGGCATCTGTAAAGTGTAAAGTTTTTTATATATATATTTTTAAATTTTCGTTTTTTTATATATTTATATTTTTTATATATTTATATAATATCGTTTTTAATTACTATTTTTTTTTTATTTTCAGTAGTAATAATGAGTGTAATTTTTGATTTTTTTACAGCGCGACGTTGGAAATTTTTATGTTTATATAAATTTATTTATATTATTTTTTTATATAGATTTTTTTTTTATTACGAAGGTTAAGATTATTTACATTTTTTGGTATTTATATTTCGCTTATTCAGTATTTAGGATTTGATATCTTTTTTTTTTTTTTTTTTTGCGGCAGAAATTTATTAGCTTCGTTTACTGTCTCTATATGCTAGTAATTATTATTATTTTTTTTATACTGTAATTTCTTATTTTCTTTTGAAATTAATCGTTCAATGGTATATTTTCCTTAGATGTTATTTATCGTAATGGTATGTTATTAATATGAAAAATTTAATTGAGAATGTAATAATTTAGTTATAATATTTTTTTCACGTGATTAAGTGATCGCATACATATTTGACCGGAAATTACTGTTATTGGGTTATTATCAGAGTTGTCTTATTCAATTTAAGTAATGTAATATGATGATTATATTGTTGTGTCATGATGATAAAATTATTACGTTATTCTTATGTATTGTATTATTTCCGTTTTAAAGAAACTCTATTAATTATGATCAATAATTTAGGATTATATTATATAATTCAAATTTTGTAATTCGTAAATATTATGATATAGAATGTTGTAATTAGAGATTTATATTATTTTCAATTAATGTCGTAATCGGAGATTGATATCAATTTCAATTAATGTCGTAATCGGAGATTGATATCAATTTCAATTAATATTGTAATCGAAGATTGATATCAATTTCAATTAATGTCGTAATCAGAGATTGATATCAATTTCAATTAATGTCGTAATTGGTGATTGATATCAATTTCAATTAATGTCGTAATTGGTGATTGATATTAATTTCAATTAATGTTAATTGGAGATTAATCTTAACAATAATAATGTCGTAATCAGAGTTTAATTTGATAATAATAGATGTCATAATTGAATATTAATGTTGATGATGTTAAATGTTGTAATCGTCGGAAATTAATTTTGATAATCATAATTGTCGCATTCTGAATCCTTTATCAAAAATTGATTCATGACAAATTTTATCTTGTTATTATTAATCAATTTATTATAAATTATTGGTTTATTTCATATATCATTACTATCATCATCATAAGTCAATTTATATTAGTCAATTTATACTATTAATTGATTTATTATGAATTATCAGTTTATTGCATATATCATTACATATCATCATCATAAGTCAATTTATTCAAATTTCATCATCAATTATTCATCATCAATTATTGCATATATCATTACATATTATCATCATAAGTCAATTTATTCAAATTTCATCATCAATGATTTATTTTATTATCGTTAATTTTTATCATCGGTTAGTTTATCAATTAGTTTATTATATTTTTATTTATTATATTTTTATCTTTCATAATTCGTTTTATGATAAATAAATCTTATTGGCATAAATCAATTTATGACATAAACTCGTTATCATTATTTATGACATAAACTCGTTATCATTATTATATCATTATTATATCATTATTATATCATCATTATTACATATCTTGTCATCATCATAAATTAATTTACTTATTATTATGATCTATTATTATTACATATCTTGTCGTTATCATAAATTAATTTACTTATTATTATTTACTTATTATTATGATCTATATTACTTATTATTATGATCTATATTTATCTTTTTATTTAAAATGTTAAAATCCATAAACTCAGAATTCCCATGTTCAGGTCATGTTTCTCAGGTACGACCAATCATCATGTTTAAACGTCCAAACTAAATTCGACTCAGAATTAAATCACGATTCTCAGGTATGCCAATCAAAAACGTTAAAACGCACAAACTCAGAATTAAAGATATAGATTCTCAGGTACGCCAATCAAAAACGTTAAAACGCACAAACTCAGAATTAAAGATATAGATTCTCAGGTATGCCAATCAAAAACGTTAAAACGCACAAACTCAGAATTAAAGATATAGATAACACCGGAACAGATATTAAAAATAGGGGTATTTCACACCCTACACCATATAGTCCATTCATAATAATCTGCTTATATTAAATACTTAGACTCCAGATTTATTTATATCCGGGTTTAAAAACAATATGTCACGTTATATCATATGACATAGTATATATCCGGATATATAAATCCAGATAGAGGTATTAACTCTATACTATGATTAATTGAAGCGATACTTACTATAATTTTGCTGAAGTCTGACAAGAAAAGATGGCCTCAACCTCGCGACAATGACCGGTTGAAAATTAGTGGGACATGTGATGAATTCGTCAGCAAATTTTGGTAGTTTTCGATAATATAATTTTCGGCCGGTACAAAACATACCACGATAATATATTGGCCGAAAATTATATTATCGAAAAACTATATTACCGATGATTATCACAAAATTCATCACGTGTCCCACTAATTTTCAAACTACTTTCCACCAATTAAAATTGAGTTTCGACCTATAATTTATGTGCTTGAATAAAATGAGAAATTAATTAATACATATATTGATTAACATTGCTCAATTGATTAAATACATAAGAAAATACTTATGTAATTGAAATATAATGTGAAAACCTGACATTATATAACAAAGTGTTTTGTAGACCAATTTCAACCCATTAAAACATTAACACTTGTATGACTTCTTTAAATACTATCGCTATATTGCTTTAAAATCATTATCACTATAGCAACGTAATAATATTTAATACAAAGATTATCGATATTATTTACCACAACTTGAGCCATGGCCAAGTCATGCTATAGCCATAACACAAGTTGTGGCTCAATGATTATGGTTTAATCCGGAGCTATGACTTTAAAAAGCGATTCAGTTGTAGCTGATGCTGAGTCATAGCAACACAGGAGGATGCCTAAATTTCCGGGTCGGAATGGCCGTGGTTAGGGTTAGTTATTCTAATGGACACTTTAGAACAGTGTTCGACAATCATTTGATAAACGTATTATAACGTCATTTGTTTACCAGAACTATGCTCCTAAGCTAACCCTAACCAACCTTAACCTAGGCAGCATGGTGGACAATCATGGTAGCACAAACTTCCAAACTTGAAATTTGTGACTCAGGACCGATCTGTCCAATAAAAGTACAGGGATGATCGATCACATGAA